TCTGTCAGAGGTTAATGAAGACTCGATTCTGCCGTTATGGTGCTCATTGCAAGTGAGTTAATCACTGCTTCTCTCGAGGGACTGTGTTGTTGCCAGGTACGGTGCAAAATGCTTCTATGCTCATAGCGAAGATGAACTCCGCCAACGCCCTCCCCCTCCAGCGGGATTTGCTCGTCAGATGAGGCAAGATTACATCGATCCACAGGCCTTCGGTGAGCAGCGCACTGGTTAGGAGTTTCTAACGTTCACCTGATCAGATCCGGCTCTAATGCAGTTCGCGCCTCCGATGGGTTTCCCCTCGCATATCGGCCAGTACCCTCTCACTGAAGTCCACTATGATGCTAATCCATATAGGTGCGCCATGATGCCACCACCTCCAGGAGCCAATCCGACTCCTCCAAGAATCCATCCCGGTGGATTTCGTGTTCCCCCGGGATTGAACCCGGGTGCCTACCCCGTGCCACCCCATCTGGAATCCCCTGCTCATCACTGCAATGGTGGCCCAGCCGACCCACGTCAGTTGGCCGCCGCAAGTGGTACCCCCAATGGCCAGGCCCCCAATGACGATACGGTGCCGCGACACGCCCTGCCCTCGCCCACCAACGAGATGCTTGCGACCCCCCTGGCCGTAGCTGAGCGGGTCTTCGGTCAGGCTGGTCTCAAGCCAGAGCAAATTGCCAGTATTCTGCGAGCAGCTCAACCAGTATCTTATGGTGACTAATGACAAGTGAAGCTTTTGAAACATATTTTAGTTGTGACGATTCTATCTGAGTCTATGAAGCTTCCGTCACCTCAGAACAGATGGCGTAAGTCACTGTTCTCGTTTGTACATTGGTGTCTATTGACCCGATTGCGTCCATGAAATTGATGCCCATGACCGCGTGCGTTATGATGATAATAGCAATTGGCCTTGAGTTCTCATTTTATGTCCATCGAGAGCAGTGGCTTCGAACATGCTCGAACTCTGCGGAGACGCAACACAGTCGTGATGAGAAAACGATCGCAATAAAGTGAGCTCATGTCTGCACACATCAACGCGGCGCCAACGATATTCATGGTTCGACAA